CTCCTGCTGATGTTTTACCTCTCACCTTCCCAAGGCTACCTGTTGGGTTTGCATTTCACCTGTCTACTCCTTCCCTGGATAGGGTGCACCTGAGCACACAACCCTGATTTTATTTTCCCTCCATCAAGGCAGTGTGTGATGACCGTGTGGGAATGAAATCTCTTGTACATACTTAGCACAGCACCTGGGGTATGAACTCGCACCCCCATTCCGTAACGGGGTGCATTAGCGCTTACTGTAAAACATCGGGAGTAGTATTGTATTTGTAACAATATCGTTCTTTGTATACACGAAACTCAATGATCTCTATATATAAATATAAATATATATATAAATAAAATATATCTACACGTGAGCCTGGAATGTTGCCACTGCACACCCACTGAATGTATTTCCTCCGACAGTCTGGTCACCAGTCCTGGCCCACCCTCCCCTTCTTTGTGCCGTGGCCGCAGTTGTCTGGTTTGGGGTTGTGATGTATTAAATGTGCTATCTCCTTATTTAACTGAACGCTAACGTCTGTATAAGAATTGCTGCAACAATAAACAAGGACTTTGCCTCTTAGCCCTGGCTGAGTGCCTGACTGTTTCAAGGAGGATAGGCCTCCGTGTGCAGGGAAAGTTTGGTCTTCCCTAATAGGTCACGTCCAGCTCTAAGGGTTATGGGGACTGGTTGCTACCCCAATATTTATCAGTGACCTGTCACCCCACAGTGTTTTCAGTCTCCTTGGAGCACGGGTGTCATGGGAGAAAGGACCCTGTAGGTTTCATACTTTGTGACATCACTGAGGAAAGAAAGGCAGAAATTAATCCTTCCCTCTAGAAATAAATAAATAGAAATGGAAGAGGTCTTCATTGAGGGCTGGAGCCACAGTGGGAAACAGTGCCTCGGAGGACCAATCTGAAGATTCTGTGAGAATGCTCCAGAAGCCTTTTACCTAGGACTCTTCGCAATCCCACTCTTCAGCATTTGGTAACATGATGTTCCTGGTGCCAGGGGCATGAGCGGAGCACAAGGCTCCCAAAAGAGAAGGCGTGGCCTAGTCTTCATTAGAACATCAACCTCCTCATCCTTCCAGAAAAACTAGTTGTAGGTCCCTTAGGGACTGTGCTCTGCAGCTGCTGGAAACCCTGGAAGGTAGAGGCTGGGAACAGTTGGGTTTTTGTTTGTTTGCTTTTTTTTTTTAATTTTCCTTTTTTATTAATTTTTTTCATTTATTTTACATACCAACCAGTTTACCCTCCTTCCTCTCCTCCTGTTCCCCCCCTCACTCCCCTTTTACCCTGTCACCATCTACCACTCCTGTATCATCTCCATATGGGGGACAGGCCTCCCATAGGAGTCAACAAAGCATGGCACATCAAGTTGAGGCAAGACCAAGCTCCTCCCCCTGTGTTAAGGTTGGGCAAGCAACCCAGCTTGGGGATTGGGTTCCCAAAAGTCAGCTCAAAGTGCCAGAGATAGGTTCTGGGAATTATAAAAGCCTTGTGGCAGCATGCTGTGCCCCAGAATCACTGGGTCTTTGTTACCATGCTTATAGCTCTGTAACAAAACACTTGGTGTTGAAAAGCTTAAAAAGATGGTGGTAGACTAAGACCCTCCCCCACACACACACAGCTGTCTCCTCACAGAAGCATCTTAAATAGCTCTATTCCCCACCAAAACCACTTTCAGAAGAACAAACCCAGATGAGAAATCGCAGGACCTAGTTTTAGTGTGATGAAAAAATTTGTTGACAGGAAAGAGTCTTTATCCAGGAGCACTGTCTTGGGGACAGGGTCATTGGGATCTGTGAGTGCTCCTGGATGGAGACCATCCTGGCTCCAGAAAGAGAACTAAGACTCCAGTGGGATCGATTTATAAACTAGCCTGCATCCCCTCCCGCTGCTTCAATTTCCTGCCACTAGTACACCAAGCCATAGCATTGTGGGTTTGGTCCTACTCCTCCTTACTGCTCCAACAGATGGGTTAAAACCTGGGTCAACTATGTGCTGCCTACAAGAAATTCACTTCTGAAGATACGTAATAGACTAAAAGTGATGGGGTGATGTGATGGTTCATTTTCATTGTGCACTTAACTGGATTCAGAATCATACAGGAGGTTGGAAAGAAGCATATCTGGATGTATCTATAAGGGTGTTTCTAGATTAACTGAGCTAGGAGAGACCTATCATTGTACCTGAGAGAAAGAAAACTGCTAGATCTGAACCCCAGAGTTAATAGAAGGAAAAAAATAAAGACCAAAGGAGCAATAAAGAAAAAGTATGAACCATTAGCAAAATGAAAAGTTGTTCTTCTCAAAAACAAACAAACTCAAGAGAAGTGAACCAGACACAAAAACAGAGAGAAGAAAGAAATACAACTTATACCATCAACTACAACAGCATTCAAGATTATGAACAATGACATACAAAAATTGATAAACTAACAAAAGGACAAATTTCTGTACATATACAGGAAGACTGAGGGATTTGACAGGAGCCTGTATTTAGACAACTCCCAACAGCCCACCACAAAACAGCGATTTAATAAGTGAGCGTCGTGATCGAGGGCAAGACCCAAAACAGGCTGAAGTAAGGAGTGTCTCTACATAGCAACAGTGAAATGATTGAAATGGAAAACAGTAACCAAAAAAAAAAACTATCTAGGAGAAAAGAGTCCTGCAATGAAAAGTATAAAGCACTGGCATAATGAACTGGGAAGGCCACACAGAAACACAGAAAGATGTCTGTGTCCATGGAATCAAACGGTTGATACTGGCGAAACATTCATACTGACTGACTAAAGCAACCTACAGATCCAGTGTGATCTCAGTCAAAATACCAATGACTTTCTTCCCATACCTAGAAAAAGACCCTAGGATACATTTAGGACCACCAAATAAATATGAACTAAAGCAAAAGAAAAATAAAGCAAATTTGAAGCAAAAGAACATCATCTTGTCAGCTAACATGAAAATATACTACAAAGCTATAATCATTGAAACATGCTAATGATGTAAACTATGGGTGGTAGGAGACTAGAACTGGACTCCATCTCTTACCACACACAAAAACCAGCTCGAATTAAGGACTCAACCATAAAACAGAGTGGAAGCAGACATAGGGGAAATATATTAGGAATAACCAATTTTTTTAATAAAACTCCCAAACACAGGAAATACAAACAAAAACAGACAGGCAGGATAACACCAAACTGAAAACCTACAATGGCGAAAAAAACAAAAGAATAAAGATACAACCTAAAATCAGTGGGAGAAATATTTTCAAACTATGCATCTAACAAGGATAATTTTAGAATATGTTAGAAGACCAATAGCAAATAATAATCGTCTTAAAAATCGGAACAAACCTAGAGTTATTTTCAAAAGAAAAAAAAAACAGGCAAACAAATGACAAACAGATGTGTGGCACCACGGGAACCATCACTGAGGATCAAAGCCACAATCAGATGAACTCAGTCCACGTGGAATGGCCAGCGGCAGAGGAGACAGGAACGCCAGCAACTTCCACGAGGAAAGAGGAGAATGCAAATGAGTAGCGCCAGACGCAAATTCCTTAAGAACTAATTATATGATTGCCGTGTGATCCAGCAGCTCCACCGGTACAGACCCAAAAGTAAGAAGGTCCCAGTGTTAGAGAAGAGCTCTGGTCTCCACCCCTGCACACGGCGTGCTTACTCACCCACACCTGCACACAGCACGCTCGCTCACCCACACCTGCAACGGCGTGCTCTCTTACCCACACCTGCACACGGCACGCTCTCTCACCCACACTAGCACACGGCACGCTCGCTCACCCACTGAGCCATCACCACAGGCCTATCAAGGCAGTCCTTGAACCATTACAACCAGCAGCCAGAAAAGCAACAGCAATCCTAGCACGGGGTCCCCCAGCTACAAGCGGCAGGGCTAGAGAGCAGTCAAGACTAATGGCACTTTCAATAAACTTTGAGAAACAAATATGTCACCCTCTCCCCGCCCCCCAGGTGCTACCAGTCAGAGGGGTTTTGGATAGTTCAGACAGGTGGGACTCGCAGCAGGGGAAGTTTATGACAGGACAGCAGCCCACAGGTGAGACTTTTCCCCCACAACGGTCAGCTCACAATAACCCTTAGGAGGTGAAATGATTGTTTCTGGATTAGCTGGGCTTAACTATCCGGATAGAACATTTAAATGTAAGGAGGACTGGATCGCCCTGGTGGTGAGCCATGATGGAATACGAATTAAGGTTTCAATGAACACTCGAGATGGAAGTAGACCTTTTGTGCCTTCCAGCCTATCGTTTACTACTAATTAACCCCTCTCCATCTCTTCCCTCTCTGGCTCTCAGTAATTAAATTTAAGACATCTCAGAAGTTGGTTTTCTTATTGGCACCTGTATATGCAAACGTCACAGGGCTCACTGTCAACCCAAAACTCAGCTCTCATCTCAAAGGGAAGGGCTTTATTCTAGAGCCAAAAATGAGTGAGCATGACCCAGGGACAAAGATTCAGGTTGTCCCAAATACCATGTTCAACGCGGTAAGTTTCACCGAGTCTTTATAATTGCGGATCAAAAGACAGCTATAGATTCCACGCTCAGGTGGAAACATCAGGTCGGCAGCTTCTGACCAAGCAGGGAAATCTCAGATAAATTTCAGATGCTGTTGATGCCTTTCTTAGCATTTGTGCTTCTGGAAGGCAGCGATATGTTATATCCTAAAAGGGGTCATGGGCTAAGTCACAGGATGCTAGATCAGACACAGAGTGAATGCGATGGACGGCTAAGAAGGGAGCTAAAAATCACCCAACAGAGTTGAATTTGGGTTCTGCAGGATTTCCAACACTCCATAACCACAGAGTTCAGTCAGCCTGCCTGGTAGAATCTTCAGCATGGGTATAGCCTTTCCCAGAGAATTTCAGTTCTCAATAACCCATATAGGTACATTGCAATGTGCCAATTTTTCAATAGTAAAAATGGCGATAAACAGTAACTTCAAAAGAAAATCATTTGACTCACAGTTCTGGACAATCCGAGCAGCCTCACACCAGTAGGTCCTGTCCAGGGGCAGGCCCTGGTGGAGAAACGGAAAGGGAGCCAGTGGCCTGAAGAAGTGGCCTAGCATGTGGGTGACCTCCCTTTCTTGCCACCAGCTCTAGAAAGACCATCCCACTCCTCCAAGACTGGCCTTGCTGGAGAGAGGTTGCCTGGTCCTCAGCACCTTCCATTCAGCTGGGGCTCCTGAGGGCTCTCCTCCACACAGCCACACCGAAGGTTAGAATACCAGCCCAAAACTTCCTCACTTCCGCTTTGGGGGCTGGAAAACTTCCTCACTTCCGCTTTGGGGGCGGGGCTACATCTAAACTAGAGCGGGGGGCCTAGTCTCCCATCACATGGAGCAAAGTGCCCCATCGTGCATGACCAGGAAGAACAGGAAGATAGATTTAGCTCAGTCCTGAGGAGCCACTCAGATAGGAAGACTCTCAGTTGGTCCTAGAGCGGGCCTCTGGGCGGGACCTTTACAAAGCACTTTCTTTTCTGTCCATTAGCTTAATCGCCACAATACCTGAGGGAGGCAGAGGCCGCATCTCATTTATAGCCCAGGAACCTCCAGTTTAAGAAATCAAGTTTCTGCTCCAGTGGCTATAGCTGTGCTGGACTCTGCCCCCGCATTCCACCCACCTCGTAAGTGATCAGCAGTGGGCCATCTCCCTGTGAGAACTAGACGCTGGGAGCAGCAAGAGAAATCTTTGCTTCTTGCCTTCTCTCCCCCTCATGTTGTAAGTGAGGTAATAACAGAAGTTCCCTGGAGAAGGTCACAGACCACCTTTCTGGCTCACTCGCCTGACCTAAGCTACTGACCAGGAATTCCGAGCTAGAGCCCGTCTCGGGCTCTGACAGGCTAGTCCTACAAAGAGAACCCTCTTGACAGTGCTGTGGCCCTGGCAGCCGGCCGCAAGCACCCTCCTCACCCAGAAGCCCTGGCTCCCCATTTGCCCCCTCGTTTCCCCACCACCAAGGGCACCATCCTCCACAACACTCACCCTCATCGCTAGGGGAAAGGCTTCGCCAGCACTGGGAGGGGGGCGCGTCTCAAGGGCAGAGAAGATGCTTCATTTTCCTTACCCCACCGGGAGAGAAGGAAGGAAGAGCTTTCCTGGTCTCTGTATTTGCACAAAGGACAGTGCCCCTCAACGGGAGGGCAGTACCACCAGGGGTACCTGAAAGCGCCTGTAGTGAGAAGCTGAGGTGGGCAAGCCCCGCCCTGTGTCAAGCCACGCCCCTCTGAAAGCCCCACACTCTTCGGTCAGCCCCACCCCAGCCACCCTAAAGCTTACAGAATCTCTTGGTCTTAGTCTTCTAAAAGTCTTGCTTCGTCTGCTCCTCGGTTTCTTGACCTCATTGAGCATGCTCATCTTGTGAGGCCCGTGTGTCTAGTACGAACAGAATTTTTGCAGCTGAAAGGGATATCTAAAAACCGTTGCCTGAGGACCTATAGGAAGTCGAATGGTTGGTTTTTTAATCAAGACTAGGGCACACAGAAATTACGACCTTCGTACAATGTTAAATGAGAATGTGCTCCCAGAGTTTCGTTCCCCCTACACCAAGTGATCCCGTCTTTAAACAGCTACAGGCTGAGCGCTGAAGGTTAACTGTACAACAATGTGGAGTGTATCCTAAGTTCAACACCCAGCAATGCAAATCGTGTTTAATGTATTTCAGACAATTTTAAATTTTTAATGATTTTAATGGTAGTTGTTTAGCGTATACCGGTTAGAAAGAGCCTTTCTGAGACTAGGAAGAGGGAGCTATCGGTGTCTAACCAACAAGGACTCCAAATTGACAGCGTAGTGTGCATGAACGCCCTGAAGCCAGCGTCCTCCAGATAGCTCTTGACTCCGGTGATTACAGCTGAGCTTGGCAGGCAGAGGGTAGACCGGCAGATGGAGATGGCTGGGGGGGGGGGGGGGGGGGGGGGGGGGGGGGGGGGGGGGGGGGGGGGGGGGGGGGGGGGGGGGGGGGGGGGACTGTAGTGCTACACGTTTCTAATTGCTAATTGCTTCAACATGGGTTTTCAACTCTCTCCATCGCTTCCCTGTGCTATCTCCCAGGGAAACCACAGGCTTCATGAAGCCAGAGATGGATTTGGCGCCCTCTGATGGAATAGTGAGGGAAAGGCCATGCCTACAAGATTCCCAGAGGGCAGCTGCAGGAGTGTGGGATTTCTCAGACCTAGCCTGGCTCCCACAGCTACCTTCCAGATAGGGAGGCAGGCGGAGCTGGTGCTATGACTCATCCACTAATGCTCCGCTGTGCAAACCCAGAGGCTGACAGAGGCACTTTCGTCAGGTCCTGGAGTCCTGGAGGCAGGCTTATTACACGGCAGTGATTCTTCTTGTAGGCCACCCCAGAGGTTCTGAGCTCATTTGGTGGAGACCATACATTTCAAAGGCATAGACTCTTGGAACAGCATGAGGAGGAGATACACACACACACACACACACACACACACACACTAGGTGCCAGGGAAGCAGGGCGGGGGGGGGGGGGAGAGGGGGGTAGAATTCCCTGAGTCGACCTAAAATTTAGACTATTGTTTCCTAGCTCTCCCTGTGACTCCAGCTTCCGGCTGGCCACAGAAGTACAAATAAGATTTGGAAGGCTCATCAAAGCCAGGGTCTTATAATATCATGTATACGGGAGTGCACATCCCCTGTCGCTGGCTGACGGTCCACATGGCCAGCACACACACACACACACACACACACACACACATCACAGAAGTCATGGGCAGCAGTGGCCGGCTCCATGTCACTCTAGCCTCATGGACAACAGTCAGCCCTGCTGAAGTCAGAGGTCACCCTTTGCCCAGGCCTCTTCCTGGCCCGTACAGGTGTGTTTGACTGAGCTGTAGAGAATGCCTCGCTCCCTCCCACACCGAAGGAGCCCAAGCACAGCACAGAGGGGAACAGGAATTGCCTAACTTCTGGCATCTATATGAGAAATTTGGTCCTCGCTTTATGGCCTCAGAAAGCGCAAAAGCTCCCCCATCTTAAGTTTGCTCCCAAGAGCCTGGAAAGAACACCTCCAGCTTCTGCAAAGATGAGCTCCTCAATGGCTATACACCCCATCCTTTCCCATCTGACAGACCTGGGTACCAATGGCAGCTACAGGGACCTCCTCACCCTCCTTCTATGCTAAGGAAGCAGTCTTCAATCCTCCAGGGGGTAGCAGGCCAAGGACACTGAACTGCTAACTATTCCCTTTAGCTTTTCTTGTGGAGTGTTCAGGGTCAGTGAGAGAGCCAGTCACACTAACTAAGGTGGAGCGTGACAGAGGACATTGGCTATCACCCTCTGTCATCCTCACGTACATGCTCGCATACAAACACACACGTGCACAGTATCAAAGCAAATCACACAGGATCATCGGGACAGAGTCCTTCCAAGTCGGTTCACTAGCATCCCACACGGGGGGGGGGAGGGGGGGGCTAGCACACAGCTCACTGCCCACAGGGGGATTTGCACTGGAATTACACACATCCGGGCCCAATGGACAACTTTGGCAATCCTCTAAACTAACAAAACTGATAAGGAAAACGCTAATCATAGGGAGTAAACCTCTGTGTCACTCGGCTTCTGGACAGCACATAAATTTGAAGTGAGTCAGAAGACAGAGACCAGGGTGGAATCGCGATGTTTTCTGACAGGAAGAGCACGGTGGGCCCAGTGCAGTTAGATCATGGTCCGCGTAGTAAAGGGCGGGAAGAAATCCTGTTTCCTAGTTCATTTCTCACTAAAATGAGTTATGAGTGACAACAGGAGCTCTGAAAACCCCCAGGAATTCTGAGAATCGTCAGGCTTAGAGGGGAGCAGGCATCTCTGTCACCGGACCCTGTTTGGCGCACCCAAGTCAATGAGCCAAAGACTACGGAGCTCTGGCGCCACCTGGTGGCAAACAGCAAAATGCGGGCTTCCTGATTGTCCCCATTTCTCTAGTCATCTGGTGATCCCTTGCTTGGCTTATTCTTCCAAAGCAAGTGAGGGTAGGGCAGGGAAGAAAGCCCCTCCCGCTTCGGTTGCTTTGCTTTTTCTTGTTACTCTCATGAAAAGGTAAATCAAGCAGAGAGGAGAAGTTATCAAGCTGGAATACACTCTTAGGGGGATTCCAGAACATTCCCCCTCCACCACCACGCCCCTCCCCCCCCACCCCCCACCCCCATCCCCGCCGCTGGGTTCTCAGAATTCCAGCCAATCTGGCCCTGGGATGTGTTTCTCCTGACCTAGGATACCCAAGATTTCCACAATACATGGGACTGCCTTCTGAAGGATCTGGGACAGGGACACCCAAAAGGCTTCAGGAGAAAATGATCTCCCTACCCACCCACCCCCATCCTGCTCCCGCCAGCCAGCTGCTACCAAACCTTCAGGCCTTGAATAGCTTCTGCAGCAACACCCCTGCGAGCACTGGTCACGCCTTGTACTGTCCCTGCACCAACTTCTGAGCCCAGCGCCTATCCACCCGAACCCTGCAGAGTTGTTCTACATCCCTACTGCTGCCTGTGAGCCAAACAGATCATAGGTATATGTTGTTCCTGAACACATGAAACTGACCAATGGATAATTTTTTAAAAATGTGGAAAGAGAATTCTTTGAAGTGATATCTAACTGAATATGTACCAAGAAAGCTTCCTAAAGGAAAAATTAAAACCTAATCATTCATAATACCTTAAATAGCCAGTGGTGAGCCAAAAGGTCTCTCAGCGTTAAGTGGAATGTTTGGGGCTCTTTTCAGATTGCTGCCGCCAGTCATCAGTGTGGCTTCAGACTTAATTCTGTGCAGCTGAGCAGAACCCAAACAAAATCTCTGCCTGTCTGCAATTTAGGTTCCAGAAGAAGAGATAAAAAATAATTAGGTAAAATATATACTTCCATCATATCATGATGTGCACTCGTGGGGAAAAAACAAGTGTGGAGGGTTGCAGTGTGGGAAGAGGGAGGCAGAAGAAGCGCGTGAGCAAAGGCGGGGAGGGGAGTCTGACACAGCCGCGGAGCAGCCCTGAGAGTACTGCGTGGGGGAGAGGGTAGTCTTGTTCACGTCTTTGCCCACTGCATCAGCATGGTGCCTAGGGCTCTGCATATCATAGGTGTTTGGGGAAAGTCATCAACTGGCCAGGAATGTAGAGAAGCAACAGGAACTTCCGGGGTTGAGCCAGCACCACTGCCTCTGGCGTGGAGGATTGGAGGGGTGCCTGCACCCGACTCATCCTTCTTGCACTAAGATTCTGCAGGGATGCCACCTCGCAGGGAGGACTGAGCATCACCAACTCCCACGCTGTAGCGCAACTTACGCTGGCTGCGGCGTCTGGGGAGACGCTCCCATCGCCCACAGCCCCTCTTGCCCTGGCTGTTATTTTGACTTCTATTTGGTTCCCTGTCAGGCACCTGCGGAGCAAAGGGGGAGCTGAAGGAGAGCAGGGACCTCCTTCCTCCATCACTGCTCATTTCCTGTGTGCCGGCTTTTCCATCGCTGTGACAAAATGCCAGACAGGAGTAATTTAGGAAAGTCAAGTTCATGTAGGATCACCATTCAAGGACATCCCAGCCAGTCGTGCAGGGAAGGCACGGAGGCTTGGGGGAAGGGCTGTGGTGACCGTGGTATGTTTGTAGCACTTAGGCAACAGGAAGCAGAGTATAGGCAGAAGCAGGAGCAGATTTCCCCCAAAGCCCTCCTCGTGTGACCCAGTTCTATTAGCCAACCCCACATCACGGAGGCTTCACAACCTCGCAGGTAGAGAAGGCTGTTGGCCCTTCTGGGGACCAAGTGTCCAACCATGTGAGGCTCTGGGGGACCGCTCACATTCTACTGGAACACCCGGTATCTAGGGTTGTGCCTGGCATCATTC